CTTCTGCCCGGCCACAGGCACCCCCAAGTCAGCTGCTGCTGAAACTGACCAGTGCTGACTACAGGAAGCCAGAGGCATAGTTGCTCTGCCCCGGGCTTCCTGGAATCAGCCGCTGATCAGTTTCAGCAGCAGCTGACTTGGGGACACCTGGGGTTCTGAAGTTGAATCTGTATGTGAGTTGGAACTGGCGTCCAGATTCAGCCTGTTAAAACTGATCAGAGGCTGATTCCAGGAAGCCCGGGGCAGAGCAACTCTGCCTCGGGCTTCCTGTAGTCAGCTGCTGGTCAGTTTCAGCAGCGGCTGAATCTGGAGGCCAGTTCCGACTTACATACAGATTCAACTTAAGAACAAACCTAAAGTCCCTATCTTGTACGTAACCCGGGGACTGCCTGTAATGTTTAAAAAATTGTGGATTACTTCTACCTAGTGTAATTGCTCTGACATCAGCACAGTTATATCCTGGATGAATTTGTTCCACACTACCACTAATATTAATTTACATATTTCTTTGTCTGAAAAACCAAATGGAGGGAATGCAACTTGCTGGAATTAGTATAAGGAGGTAATGTTTAGGATTGTTTCGAGTTCCAGGAGATTATATGCAGTTTGGAAAGTATCCCATTCTAGATTACACCTCAATTGCTCTTGGCAATGAGATAATTGTACACTTTTGGACAGTTAGACATTTCTCTTTTTACCATATCCATGAAATTTAAGTGTTATGTGAAGTGATATAAAATTAAGAATGTAATAGAAAATTTAAAATGATGCTGTAATACTTATAAAATTGTCTTCATGTGGACTACAAAGGCCAAAAGAGGTGTATTTTAGCTATCATGTGTTAATTTTAAAATTTAGAAGTTTCACATACTTATTTCACTGGCAACATGTTCTAGTTTTTCTTGAGCTCTGCTGATAAGAACCACGTTCATTCCATGCTTTGCTAGCTGAAAGAAACAAAAGAAACAGAGCAGTTCAAATCACAAGTGTGCAATAGGTTACTGGCCAGCATCACTCTTGAAGAAAAGATAAAACCTGGGTCAAGTTAGGGACTTTAACAGCAGGGAGCCAGCTGCCCCTCCACCCTCTGCACTGCTGCCTCTCAGAGGCAGCAGCTCCGGGGCAGATGGCTCCTGGGGAGCCTTTGC